TTTAAAAGGGGTAAGCATGCGTGGCTTAAAAGACTGCAGAAATGGTCAGGAAACCAAATGAAAAAATCAATCGGTAAAAAACAATTAAACATAGATGAACACTTTCGATCTTTCCGAGTACTTTTCTTTGCTCTAAGACTTTATGCTTTGAGTCTAGGCGGCTGCTCTATAATATTAACACAAATATATTACAGCTCTGAGACATCGCAAAACTCTCATTATAAAGTTAATTAGAAGTTACCTCTCGAAACTAGAAATTAAACCCTTGCGATATTCAATACAAATGACTCTGCCCTTCCCCGTGATAAAATTATCTTCTAGCCTTGACCGAACTGCTGAACTAGTGAACCTCATCACCCATATACATCAAATCTGTCCTCAAATAACTCTCATTCCATTCATTATTTAAACAAGCATTTTCTCAAAACGTCGGTCGCGAGCAACCAGGAGCTTGAGAGTCATTTTTTGGTGGGTGGGAAATATTTACCTCTAAATAAGTACTTACTTATAATTACTATGTAATTGTTAGTTCAAAGGGGTTTGTCCCTGAAGGACTATTGTTTTCGTTTTGCGATTTTGCGTTGAATCACTTTAAATGTCCGTTTCACTTTCAAACTGTTTCCACCAAATGTTAGAGTCCTGCATTATATTTGAAGAAATTAAATAACGAAAACTATGCATAAATGTATGTATATTTCTCGCATTGTGATAAAACATCTGTACATGGAGCCATAGCATTTTGAATGACGTAATCCTCCTACGAATATGGGCATGTGGAAGACCAAATTTGAAATTTGGAATTCGTTTTATTATCGATTTCATATTTTGTAAAACTTTAACGAATTTTTGAGTAACAAACTCAACAATTGCAGTGGTGTGCACTACTAGGAGGCGTTGTAATGTGACACTCTAACCAAATATCTATCTAGAAAATCCTTAATTAAATTTACATGTGCCCAATATTTACTGGCTTGAATTCTTAGTGGTAGTACATTGCAAATTAAACCCTAGTGACAAGAATAATTAAAATTTGACTTACTCAATAACCCATATGCATGAGACTTGCGGAGACAAATTTCTTTTCCTAATCTCACATTTTCTGGATTAAATATGGCACATTTATCACACACATAAAAAATATCATAACATAGAACAGATAACATGATAAATTAAAATGGAATAGTAGACGTAAGCAGAAAACGTGTCTAGCAGTCGACCAATCTCAATCTATTTACATCATGCATATATGCAGTTGAAATTTTTTCATATTAATTTCGTGCAATGCCCACAATAGTATTGTTGTACATGTGCAAGATCTTTTTTTTTCACCTTCACATTCTTTAGAACACTTAAAATAATCACGTGGTCACACATCGCTGGTAATGCACATTCTGGAGTCGAACACCTATAGCTAATCTGCTTGAGATGTTTTAGAACGGTATCGTGGCAGATGGATTTAACCTGACTTTTCATCTAAAAAATCGCAACCTTTAGTTCTGCTTCTTTTTATGCAAAAATACGACGACACTACATGTGAAAATATCAGGAACGATGAAACTCCATTGGCGCGACATGCAGGAACACAAAACCGCACAACATGCGGTGTCGCTAATTGCCAAGCGACTGCAGGAAGGTCGTGGGCGCAGAAGGGAAGAAGGGCAGAAACCAGTCTGACAGGTGGTTATATACAAGCGTGCAGTTCCGCAATTACGATTAAAATTTGTGATGCCGGCAAACTGGCGAGGGATGAACACCTAGTCTTGTCTCCCTCAGTTCAGCATCGGCCTCCTCGTGGCGCCCGCTGGAAACTATGCCGGCATGAGGCTAGATATAGGCTAACTGTCTTCGGACAGCTCTATGCTAGATATAGGCTGGCTGGCATAGGCTAACGGATGCTGGACAACGTTCTTTGTGGTTCGGCTGGATGGGATTTCCGGAACCGACCATTTATGGGAGGAGACCCGGGTTTCCTTCAGATCACTGGCTAGACTTGTGTCTAGACAGCTCTGGACTGCAGAGTAAATAAAGTCTTCACGGTAAAGACTAGAGCCATCGTTCATTCGGTGGTTGTTCAGGCTCGACAGGGACCATATGGTACTGTCTCGTCGGTGACCAAAGCTGTGGGGACGTTACATGGTGGATGGTGTGACCGTCTGAGAGGATATAATTCCCCTCGGTCTGTGTGGAGGGACGTATGAACTCTGGTTTAAGCATACTGTCCTGGAAAGGAGTACTGCGAGAGGAAGTGGTGCTCCGATCGTGGGAAATTTAACTTAGTTTTTCACTGTTACTTAGCAAAGCAGTGTGTGTAGGGATTGGCTACCTCATCACTGGCGAATTAATCTGTGATGGAAGTTTTCCCTCTGCAGCGATTGGGAGGGGTGGCGCCCTACCAGATCGGTCCTGAGGTTGCGGTTCTATTAAAGCTTGAAAGGGAGAATCTTATCTCCTAGGCCAGGGGCCGTCTCCTTGGTGCTAATGGGAGAAGTTACTATTCTCACAACGATTTAAACTGTTCTCACTACAATTTAAAAGACTCTACGGCGGTGGGGGGACCTTTTTATCTTCAGCGGGCGCGAAACTGTGTATCGGAAATTCTAAAAACTATGCTCATTTTAAAATTATTTTGCGACATTTCTACTGAATTGAATTTTATGGTTTAAGTGCAAAGAACATGAATGTTTAATAAATAAAGGTTACGTTAACGTTAATAAAACGTTAAAATGGCAAAAATGTGTTAATAACAAAACGTTAAAAAAATGCCCCTTTGGACGTAATTTAAAATTTGAAAACCTTTCAGATTATTTTTTTTTTTTTTCAGTTTTGTTTTTTTATAATTGCTTTTGATTAGTGTACTATTCCATTATTATGCCCAAGAAACTTTTTTTCCTTTCTTTCTTTCAGTCGACTTTATTTATGTGCTTCGCGATGAATCGAAACTATTATATGGATGCAAGTACCGAAATTAAAATGTCTGAAAAATATTAGTTTAGACAAAAATTATGGAAACAGCTTCAAGAAGATCCTGAATTCTAGAGAAGGAGAGTTTTATTTACTGGAAAAGAATTCTTTCGTCACGCATTATGACACCTTAACCAATCTAATCCTTATTTTAACTGAAAACATTAAATCAATGCAAATTTACTTTCTCACAAAAGAGGTAACTACGAATGGTTGAAAGAGTTTGGAGAATTCACTATTATTATTAACATTAAATTAGCCGCCCATTTTCACTGGGTTCGAATCCCTGAGAAGGCATGGATGTTTGTAAAATGTATAGTGTCTGTGTAGCATAGGGTACTCAAAGTGTGCGATGAGGCGAAAATCTTTTACAGAGGTTTAGAGGTAGGAGAAGAGGTGATGAAGACCATCGGACCCGTCTCCCCGGGTGCTGTCTTTCAAAATTGGAGCGGAACTGAACTAAAGTCGAGCTGTCACCTATCTGGTGCTTAAGGCTCTTCCCAAAGACAAGACCTTTTGACGCCTTGCTACGATGAATGCAGTGGGCTTGTACTGACCATTGTCAGGCGAAGTAAAATTGGTTATAAAAACAGTATTAAGTTAACTGTTGTTATACTGCTGACCCTTACCACGCTGTTCTTGTTGGTTAGCTGTAACTCTCCATTTTCTAAGAATAATAAAATAGAAAATCTGACTGCTGTTTGAATATTCCCACTTAGAGCTTTTTTATAATGGCGAGTTCTGTCCATTATAGGCATAGGCTTCAACTAAGGCCAGAAGCGGTTGTCACTTTATTATGGAGGAATTTGATTTGCACCTTCTTCGAAAGTTCGAACCCGATTCCTTCGGTACGGCAGTCAGAGTCACTAACCATTTTCCCGTTCGGGATGTTTGCCACTCCATTTATACTGAAGAGAGCGACAGATATTCTACTAGCTAATAATAAAAGCCAGAAACACATTCTAGTCACATTTCTTCCCGTTCGGTGACGAAGGATAAAATTAGAATTTCTATATACTAGCTAATCCTATATACTCATGCATGTGGGAAGCTAATCTTGGAAATTTTCAAATGTGTATACAATGTATTTCTATTTTTTTTAATTTCAAAGAAGTTGCAATGATATATTATTTTATAATATTTTACTGCGCAATACGTAAAAAGTATATCGCAATAAAAAGGCTAGTCGGTGTAAGCAAAACTATGCTAAAGATTATATAAAGATTTCAATTGCAAATGTGGCCATTTTCTGAGGAAATTTTAGATTCCATCTCAAATATCATTAAGCCCTAGAGCAAGCGGTAAATTTTATTACTATATATTTCAGAGTATTCTAAAATAACAATAAATTATCTACCAATCACAATAAATGATATTTGATTAGGAAAAAAGATATATTTGTTTATATGAAAAATCAAGATTCTTCTACGTTAATGTACATTTTAAACTACTCTGAAAAATGCAAGATACTAACCACCTGCAAAGAGATACAATGAAACTTTCAAATCCCTTGAGCTTATCTATAAGGTGAATACAAAGAGAAACAAAGAACAGGATGAGCTGGTAGAGGAAAATTAGCAGAAAGAACTGAATGAATGAGAGCAGCTAAGAAATAAACATACTAAAATCCACTCTAGGGAACAATCGGATCTCTAAAGACAGAAGACCTTGATTTGTATTGATCATTTACAACGAAAAAGGAGAACCCTTCTGCAAAATCTTCTGAAGAAGCGACGAGACCAGCATATCGAGAGAATTTTCTGTACTGGTGTATAACAAAATCATTAAGATAGAGAAGGAATAAAAGAAACTTCGATTTCTATCTCTAGGAATATGGTTTTATTTAAAACGAATTCAGATAACGATAAAAAAAAGGATGCTAAAAAAGAAAATGCGACAAAATTCAAAATTAAAATTCGGAATTTTAAAAATGTTAACCTTGGGAAATTACATACAAAAGCTTACATCAAATGAAATTAGAAATTCGAAACTAAAATTAATTTTGAAATATTATAAACCGTTTTTTTCTTATATTCCAGGTACTTGTTCACCATCGTTAGCTACCTCATCGGTGTCTTCATCTTTGCTACTATCGTAGGTAAGTCTATTCTTTTAATCCATTACTTGATGACTTACCCCTCATAAATTACCTTACATTTTCCCCAAAGTAACATATACTGTAAAAGTACTATAAATGAGCAAAATTGATTTTTGATTTTTTAATTTTCTACTATCTTACTGCCCCATTGAATAAATGAGTTCCAAAAAATGCCATTAAAAGAGAAGCATTTCGAATTACCCTGAAGCTATTTCTATCATTTATAACGCGTGTAACCTTTTAAGGTGTCTTTCAGAAAGATTCCTCTAAATCGCCCCAAATACTCAATACGTGCTTGTAAGGAATTTCTTATCATTCTTTTCATCGAGGTGTATTTGGAAACATAGCCGTTGGTAATTGGAAGGTGTCCTGGGATGGGCATTCACTAATGTTTCCGGTTTCTTCCTCCGAAATAGGCTTAATAACTGATGTTTTCTGAACAAAATATGGTGGACAATAATTCGTCACTGCCGTGAATTGGTGAATGCATCCCCTACTTCCCAGTAGCCCTTAAGTGGGGGAAAATGTAAGAAAATTACTCCTTCCTTATCGCTTGCCGTAGTATTCTAATTAGAAACACTTCCGCGCAATCGGTGGGTTCGGATTTCAAATCTCGGCAGGGGATTCACTGATTTTTTTCTTTGCTATGAGATACACCTAATAAGTCAACAATCTTAATTAAGAAAAAATACTTCTTCTTTTTATTAATAAGTTTATTCTGGATTAATATATGGTCTTCTGATATCATTTTACCATATATCAAACTGGCTGTAATCTTCCTTTTTGTTCTACTAGCCAGGTCTTTGAGTTGATAATTATGTCAACAACATCTTTTTATTCCAGATAGCTTTTAAAATAATATTCTTTCTCTCCTTTCCCACTTTTCTCTCTCTGATTCTCAGTGGGATAATTTTCTGGTTCTCGCCCATCTGTTTGCAGACAGTTCTACCATGACAATAATGTTTGTTTTCAGTTCAGCACTATAGTGTAGCCTAAGAGAAAGTTAGAATGGTGTTTCTGGATAAATGTTGGTTTAATGTTTACCTTTTGTTTTACTCTAAAAAAATCTAATTGACATTTTTGGGACAATGAAGAGGGAGAAAAAAGAGAGACTTGTCTGTTCTCTCCCCTCCGAATTCAGATATTTTTTCTCGTTTAAGATGTTTAACACCCAACAAAAATTTTCCTCTTTAGAAGGTTCAAGCGAAAGATTCCTGACCTGTCAGCAACGGACGAATTCACGAACAAAGATTTTTAGATAATTTGTTGTATCCGACTATACTTGTTTCAACATTAGGCGCATCATTATTGCCATGGCTAAATTTCTTTTAACCGTTTATTCTCTATATCTCTGCTTAAAAATTTTCCATCTCTTTGAGATATACGTTATTTTAAATGCTGTAAAATAGCAAATATTATCATTGGCCACAGTAATCTTTGAGACAGTTTGAAATAACCTTTACACTCTCGGCGCAATTATTCAAACATAGCTTATCCGACTGAGGTTTTGAATAATTTGGTCAGAACTGGTCCGACAGATAATCAGCATATTCTAAGGTACTGATGAGGTTCTCTCCGAAACTTACATTCGATTACTATTATGAAATACGGAATTAAAAAATAAGAAATGGGAATGAAATTTTATAAAGCCTTATTATATAATCTTTCACTCCATATATTTCATATGGGTTGAATCTAATTACGTTAGACCATACATTATCTAGCTCTTACATAAGTCACTATTTCCAAATTTTTACTATGTGTCACACGAAATAGTTCTGACATCGCAGACGCAATAGTTCGTTCCAGTTGGTAGTGCAAGCGACATAACTTTACGACCAGTGTCAAGAAAGTTTAGCATTCTGCACTGTGTCTGTCGTCAAAGCGTCTCGATTTCAGGAGGGTTAACGAACCAAGGAGCTTGTTTTTCCTCTGATATCCGTCCAGATATAACGAATCAGAGGATGTAAAATACTACTGAAAAATTAAAGAGACGTGACTAATTCAGTCTCTAGATTTTTTTACATTAGAACAGCAAGTCAGAATGCTCTTGAATTCTCGGCTAGAGAGACCCTCGTTAGCAGGATCCTTACGTCACGAGGATTATAATTCACTTCAATAGCTGTAGTATGCTATCCATGAATTATATATATTTGTAAAGAGCTTCTATTAATTGTAATAAATATGTTTTGAGTTTAAAATGCAATAAGTATTACTCAACCTCACAAATATACCAATCATTATACGGAATCAGAGACGCTACCTGCCGTAAGTCACAGTCACCCCACATATTTACAAAACATATCTATTATGAACAAACTATTACATTAGTTACTTAAGAATACAAATCCATCCGACAAATTTCATATCCTTAGCTGCAATAAAACATGAGATCTGTAGGAATGAAATAAAAAAAATTACAGCTGAGTATCAAAAACTAATTCTTATAATGTTCAGTTTTTATTTGGAAGAAATTTTAAGGAATGAATTTAAAGCAGAAACTTTTGTAAAAGTTCATGTCTAGTTTTTAAAGGCGATATATGAAACACTCCTTTCCCACACCTCGAATCATTTAAGCAGTTTTTATACTAACCTAAGAATTTTTGCTTCCGACATATTCCCTCACAGTTAATAAAATTCCTGTTTTACACCCCTACTGTTTGACTTCCTAATTATTTTATATTTAATGATGAAATCCCATTACTGAAACTGATAATTGATTTACAAAGAAAAAACTTTAATTTGGAATTTATAATAATGGAATCCTAGATATCGAATATTAAGAAAAATGCTCCATACTTATATGATTAATTGATTAATGGCATAGCAAAACGAAACATGGCAGTTTCCTGTCATAAAATTCTAATTAAATTTAATTGAATCCTTAATTATACTAATTAACTTTTTACCTAAATCTAGTCAGGGAAATAATAATAAGATTTGTTTTTTATCTTTGATCTCTTCCGTTCAAAGCTCTGCATTGCATTTCAGCATCTCTTTTGACTTCCCTACGATTATTTCTTTCGTTATAACATGACACATCACTAATATCATAAGAAAAGATTCGCTTCGAGATTAAAAAATAGGGTAATTTTATATACAGCAATAATAAATGGTCTGCATTAAAAAGTCGTCAAATCGACTTACATTTTAGCACTGCAAAGAACTTTTTATTTTTCACTAATTAACATTTTAGTTCTCTTTTCTGCTCACCTTTTTCAGTTATGGTAGTGCAAGCAGGCGTAAGCAAATAATAAAGATATTTTTTAGTTTAATTGATTATGGCAGAGCCTAGTGCTATCTTCCTAAGGAGGTATATGCCATCGTGGAGGGCCTTTAAGGAAAACTGACTCGTATACGCGTTACACATGGGGAAATACCCGAAAACGCGCATACACCTAGTCCATTCAACAGGAATCGAACACAGGTCGGAACTACCAATGTTCAGCGATTTTACCGCTCGGCCACTGGTTGGCTCAAATAATGAAGATAAGTAAAGATAAAAGCGCAAGTACTTAAGATCGCTTAGTTGAGTTTATCTGTGTTCTCAGTATTTGAGTAACATTCCATTATCCTAAGACCAATACAGCTCATTTATTTGGTTTACTAATTATATTATTGATTTACTTGTAATTTGATTATTTAAAACTTTTCATTTTATTTCATTGCAAGTTACGGTTATTTCTTTCTTTTAAAGAGCAAAACTAAAATTGAAGTTTTGTCAGTTGATGCAGAAGATAGTCACCCTTTAAAAATATATAATTGAGCAACTTATATATGCAATAACACAGTCATCTCAAATATACCCGAAATTACAGGCGGAGAAGGTTCAATAATTACATAACGCATACTTTCATTTACAATTATGTCCACTAAACTTCACTTGTTCTATAAGGGAAGAAGTAAGTATAGAATCGAAAATAATAAGTTAGTAAAGAATATCAATAAATATTCTAAACCTTGATTAGCAGCCGATCTGTTAGGGCTCTGAATACTGGTAATTCTACCTGTCTTCTGAAACCCGATCTGAATACTGGTAATTCCCCTGTCTTCCGAAATCGGCTGGCTGCATGGGATATTTCACAGTTTTTCCCGCGTATAACGTGGATGTGAGCCAAACAAATCCTCCACGAAAGCATTCTTCCGTCAGATAGATAGTCTTCATCAATATCAGTAGACGAACAAGGTTATGCTCTTCCCAACGTTCGAGTTCAAAGATGTCACGTCACTTACAAAAGGTGGAGAAAGGCAGATACGCTTACATTTAATATTGTAGGCTATGAGAAAGTGATGATGGACGCTCAAAGATTTCTGGTGGGGAAAAATAAACTTCTAGGACAATAAACTACGTTCTCGTGGGCTTTGCTGTTATTCCAATAATCCAAATCTAAATATTTGTACTTTATAGGTATATTTAAGAAATAACTAGCCAAGCTAGAATAACAATTCAATATAAAGCTTCATGGGAATTTTCTCCTCCAGATGATGATAATACCGTAATAGGCGTCTAAATTTTCTGCACTACTACTTGCAGGCTTTATTTTTTGTAAATTTTGTTATTAGGATAGATGTATAGACATAAAATAGTGTTATAAATATCTAGACGTAAAGATTATATATACACGTTTCTATTATTAACTAAACTACCACTGCATATCATATATTCATGCGAGGCATTGTAAGTATATCTCTTCGATATATCTCTCTTTTCCATAAAGCGCGTAGTGAACCGATCCATAGTTCTCGTTCTTGACATCTTCATAGTTTCTGTTTATTCAAATAACAACTATGCTTAAGACACAATAACACGCCGAACAAATACTAATTCAGAAGTAAAACAACAAAAATCAGCGTTATATATTCAAAATTTTCACAGGACTAGTTTCGATGGTTCTTTTGACCATTTGCGGTTTCGCAGCTGAGGATGATGGTTCGGTAATGCCATCGAAACTAGTCCTGTGAAAATTTTGAAAATATAACTCTGATTTTTGTTGTTTAAC